GACAGGTTTTTGGAAATTAATTTATTATAAATTTAATTTATATATAATTATTTATGTAATTTCCAGAATACGTATGCAATCAGTAAAATGCAAATATTTGTGAATATATGCGAAGAAATGCGTGAATCGAGTGATGCGGTCATCAATGCTGTCAACCAATTGCTGATACAATACTGCAATAAAATTGTGAAACCAATTGAATTCATTGTATAATTGTTTTAATTAATTGTAATAACAAATAAACAAATTAATTTAATTAAACAATTGTTTCAATTATTTCAATTATTGAAATCACATTTCACTCATCAATGAAATGCAAACACATTGAGTGACCATTTATTAACAGGTATAATTTAAATTATTAATGTCAATTTTCAAACCATATAATAAACCTTTACTTTTATAAACAAGCTATTTTTATGCTGAATCAATAATGAATAAAGCTTAACAACAGTTAATTACAATTTTAATCCCTGGTTTAAATATTTTTAAATCTATTTAATTTTCAAGTATTTTAGACTCGATGTACGAATGCTGACGCGGAAACTCTTGGCGCAAAGCTTAAAATTTTTATCACCATGATAAATAATTATTAGTGCCAAAAAATAATTAAGGCAAGAATATTTCAGTATGCATGTGGCACTTATTAAAATAACACATTTTTAAAATAAATTAAATATAATAAAATTGTAACAACATTGAATTTATTTGAAATTAATTTTTATTACTGTTGGGAAATTTTTGGTAGTTTCATAATTAATATATGAGTTGTTAAAAAAGTAATAAATTAGACCATAATAAAATTATTTTTAATGAATATAATCAAATGCATTATATAAATTGCAATAATGTATTAGCAATATAATTTTTTGGAGATTATTTAAACATGTGCATTCAATACGGTGTAGACACAGCGGTGAATGTACAGTATTTGAACAAGTGTATTTTTACATTCAGTCTAACGTCAAAGCGAGCAATTGTGCTTGGCAAATGCGACAAATTTTTAGCATAATCATATTAAGCATCAAGTTTGCAAAAAAAACTTATTTATTTTAATAACCAATCATGGGCGGTAAAATTACCAAACACGCTATTAGCCAGATGAACAACGCGCACGGCTCAAACGTTACGTACGTTGCAAACGCCTATACCCGTGCCGACCGTTGCGCTGTCTATTTCTCTCACCAGGAGCTCACGATTGATTCAATCGATTTAAATTACCATTGTGAATTTAAACTTAAATTGAGCAAGGGTCGGGTCGATGAGAAAGTAATGATACGCCATGGTGGCTGGCACCGTAAAGTTAGACAATCTGCATTGTTATATATTACAGTGATCGTTCGTGATAATAATCATAATAAAGGGATTGCCTTATGTACTAATTATCCGGTGGATACTAAACGGTCGGTGATAATTACGGACGATGGTCAGATACGGCTTCAGGGTAAGGGTGATAACATCTGGATCGATGAACAGGGTAATAATTATATACCTAAATAAATTGACTAGTAACAAATAATGTGATTTTATTTTTAATTAATGTATTTGTTTTTATATTCTTAAAAATTTATTATGTATTTATGAATAGTTTAATACATAAAGTAATTTAAATAAAAATTCGAATTAATTAAACAATTGACCCAAACGTGTGTCGCTTAATGTTGTTTTGTTGACAGTATTGTTGTAATTGAATAACAATATTCTGATTATCATTTGTGTCACTCATGTGTTTGCATAGGTTAACAAAAATGTTCATTTTTCGCAATACATATAAATTCTATGGGAAATAACATGAGTTTAAAATAATTCTTTTAAATTTTAGTAACGATTGAAATATAATTCAATAATAAAAATAAAAATACCTTGCTTATCTGTAAGCAGTTCTCGTTATACGTGTCGACCAAAGTTTCATAACACTGTCTATTATTGAGCTCTTGTTTAGTGTTTAGAATAGCATTGCTATCGACTGTCAGTAAGTGTTGAATACTATTCACGTATTCAGTCATATGTTTGTCCACATATTGTCTGCCGGCGTATAAGTTCTCTAACTCTGCTAAAAGTCTATCACAAAACAAAAATTTCATTACCAAAATATTTTAAAAATGTCGTATTATTTCATTACCTGTTTTCCTCGTTGATATCCTCAGTCTTTTCGATGCGTTTTTCAAGTAAAACCAACTCTGCGTCCCATTTACTAACCGCCTCATTATTTTGCTCTGCTTTACGCCTATTGATTACACCATTAGGTTTACTACCTGTTAATTATACCATACACAATCCAAATAAATATATAATTCAGCTTATTTAATTAATTATATAAAGTGTTTATAAGTAAATAATTAATTAATTCATACTTAAAAACTCGGACACAGTTACTTTTGTGAGTGACAAATCACCATATTGTTGTGAATGAACCGAATGAGTTACGTTTAAGTGAGTATAATTGACCAGGTTATGTTCTTTGAAAAATTGAAATTGTTGCTGCAAGGTCTCAGTTTTTAAATCGCTGGTCTCATCATTGTCGAGCCAGTTGTCCGCAAAAAATGAGCCTGATAAATTAAATATTCAATTATTAATAAACTGAGTTTGTAAATAAATAGTTTGTTTATTATTAACCAACATCACTTACTTAACCAGGTATCGTACTTATCGTCCCAATTCCAAAACCAACTAAGCTCATTATAATCAGATGATGATGTAGCATACACTTTTATATTATCGGCAAGTATATTGCGAAACATAGAGCCTGATTATTTATTAAACAATTAATTTAAATTATAATAATTATATTAGTTATTAAGATCAAGTTAAAATAAACAAATAAGATGTACCTGATTCACACGCGTCAATATAAATAGCAAGTTCGGCAAACCGGTGTTTATTGTGCATAGATACCAGCGCTTTGTTTAGGTCACTGGCCTTAAGGTAAGTCGATGGGAACATGAGCATTTCTAAATGAATCAATTAATTATATTATACTTAAAAGTTTAAAAAGTTTTGCTATTTTTATTTACCTGTTGAACCATGGTCGCCAAAATATATAAACACATGATCGTTTGGCCCGCTGTTGACAACCTTTTTACCTTGTTTGGCTAACTCCGGGTCGCCTTGCATTACAGCCAAAAAGTTCTAGATTTAATTGGTTATTATATAAACTAATTAAATGATATAAATATATATTTAACGTGTAACTTTATAATGTAAAATTAATAATTTACCTCGGGTGTGACTTCTTTACCGGTATAATCTTTGGGCACACCTTTATACAGGTCGGGACCCCCTCTCTCGTTGATGACTATACCGGGGGTCGGATTGTGTGTACTGTTGGCGATATCGTCGTAAAACATGACAATTATATTGCTCTCCGGTATGCCATACGAGCGAAACATATGGTAGCCTCGCATTACAAGTGCCTATTTTGCAATTAAATATGATAAATGAGCCTGTTAAAATATATATTTATTTAATTTATTGTTAATATTTGTACCTGATCTCCATAATTACTCCACCCGCTACTCCCGGTGCACAACACCACCCATTTGTGACTATTGTAAACTTCGTTGTCAAATACGTCGGCAAATGGCAGTCCATTAGCTATAGTAGTATATAATACTAACAAAATTAGACAATGTAGCTTCATAATTATTTATAGTAACTTTTGGTGTTTATTCAGCTATGTTAATTAAGATTTTTCTTTATTGTACAGCATTTATATACAAAATTTTATTTAAAAAAATACAATTGTTTAAATAAATAATGTACCAGAATTAGGTACAGTTCCTTATTACAGGAATAATAAGAAATATCAATTTTGAATTTTATTATCTATAATTAGCTCTCACATGAATTTGACCATAAGTCAATTATTTTGTAAAGTGTGTTTGATGATTTTGAATTTAATATAGCATTTATTGTACTAAATTCAACATTATCAATTTGATAATAAATTAAATTGAAAATTATTTGTTCGTTGATTTAATTGTGTTTATATTTTATAAAATACTTATGTAAACTATAATGTAGTTCATAATTTAATAGAAAATTTACAAAACTAATTGACAATGACATTTTATTTCAAAAACAAAATTATTTAAAATTTTAATTAATAAGTTAATTGAGGTTTCTAATTATATTATGTACAAAAATATTATCATTTTATGCTTATAATTCTTAGAAATTATTTAAAAACATAACGGTTTATCTGATAAAGAATATAATTTATATCCATATGTTTTGTGTTGATTAAAGTTTAAGTGATTTTACTGATCTATTTGTTCGCTAGTTTGCTATATTAAATAAATTATACTTACCCATAATATAATTATTATAAAATTGTGTTCTAATAAGTTAATAATAATATTCTTTTAATTTATTAACTATATCTTTATTATACAAGCCGTCGTGTGAATGCATTTCCGGTACGGTTCGCAACACTGCTACCAATGCATGTGTCAGCCCTCAGGATTGTCCCCCTAAATAAAATGGGTCACTTTTGTGATTGATAATTATTAATTATAATATTACATTAATGTAATTATTATGACTGTTTATTTAATCTTAAATTAAAAATTGTTTTAAAATAAAATTTAATTCATTGAATATAATAATAAAACTTGTTTATTTCAAATTGATAAATTTATAATAAATTGTTTATTCAAACATGTGCTAGACAAATTTTATGTGAGCAATTATTTTAAACTCATAAAGTTCTTTAAAAATAAAATAATCTAATATAATAAAGATATTTATAATAATTTTAAAACTACTTTTTTAGTTTAAAATAACAATTTATGGCTAAGGTTTTTGGGATATTTTTACATTAATTAATGATAATGCAGTAAAAACGCGTAAATGTTGTTTTAAAGATTTAATTAATTTATTACGTAGTATAGGACGAAAATAATAATATTAAATGTTATTTTTATTTTAATGATGTTGCATTTAAAACAGACAAATGTTGTTTTACAATTGTCAATTTACTAGATTTATAAAGTAGAAAAATAATATATTAATATAAAATAAATGCCGTTATCTAACTCGTTAATGTAAATGCATTTACAGGTACATAGATAAGTAGAGTGATAAAGGAAAAGGCAGGAGTGAAAATATTTAATGAAAATCCCAGTATTCATAGTGCATTAGTCATCAAAAATTGTTCAAATTTTTGTATTGTTTCATCACTTTTTCAAATGACCAAAAGTCAATTAATATATCATAAAACATACCAAATGAATGTAATTTTATAACTAATTTTAATATACTATTATTTTTGAGAGTGTAAATCTTAAATATTTTTACTCCTGCCTTTTCCTTTATTACTCTACTTATCAATGTACCTGTACTGTTAATATTACAAAATTTTCAATAAAATATAAATGTGCATAATAATTATAATAATAAAATAATTATTAGTCTAGCATAAGCAATTCACAAATATAAATCACTGAATAATCATAAACAATTATATTCCTTATTTGTTCTATCTAGAGAGTACTTGATCAACATGAAATTCACAATTCAAGCAACAATTCTATTAGCAACATCCATCTTCAGCGTTTACGGTATAATTATTTAATTAAAAAGCATATTGTTAAATTTTTTAGCTTAATTATTCATAATAAAAAGGGCTAAATTGTGGCTCGAATGAGGTCTACTCGGAAACTACACCCGGATGTCCGCCTACCTGTGCCGACCTTAACGGCCCGTTTTGTATGGTTATTGAAGATAAGCCGTCGTGTCAATGCATTTCCGGTACGGTTCGCAACACTGCTAACAATGCATGTGTCAGCCCACAGGATTGTCCCCCTAAATAATCTGGGTTACTTTGCGATTATAATAATTACATCAATGTAATTATTATGACTGTTTAACTTTAAATTATAAATTGTTCTCAAATAAAATTTAATTTACTGAATATAATACTAAAACTTGTTTATTTCAACTTGATAAATTAATGATAAATTGTTTATTTAGGCATGTGTTAGACATTTTGTGCACTTATGTAAGCTATTATTTTAAACTTATAAAGTTACAAATAAATAAAACAAATTAATATATTAAAGATATTCATAAAACATTATAAACTACCTTTATAAAAAGTCTATGGCTAAAATTACGTGACATATTTTTACATTAAATAATGATAATGCAATAAAAACGCTTAATGTAGCAGATTTACTCAATTTATCATGTAATAAAGATTTAAAATATTATAATTCATAAAATAGTACTTGTATTTTAATATTTTTAATTGTAACATTTTTGTAACATATTTATTGTAAATACAATATTTATAAATTATAATACAGTATAAAGTAAATCATTGTATTGTATTTACAATGATTATGTTATAACAGAATATATGAAATAATTCAATGCTGTATAATAAATATTATTAAATGTAAGCATAGTAAAATAAATATTTTATTGCATAATGATTAATTAACTAAAATTCATTAGTTGTTAATATTCTACATAATCTTAAGCATTTTTCTTTAATGACATATTATCAATATATAAAATAAATTACAGAATATCAATAGTAAAATCTAACATAATTTGTAACTAAATAGCAAAAATATCTATGTATAATTTTAAAAATATCGTACTTTGTAAATATAATTGTAAATCATATGTACTGGATTAATCTGACATAAAAACACTAAATTAATTACAAGTATATTTGAAAATATACAATAACTAATGACGTAATAAATAACTTGGTACTTTCAAGGATAATAACATTTATTATATTAGCAGTATTAATGGTTGTGATGTATATAAACTAAAACATGTTTAAATTAATTATAGATTTTTAAACAATATAAATAGTCGTGATAAAAATATTGTTTAACATTATATAAGTTTAATGTAATCCATTAATTCAACATAATGAAAGTTATAATATCCACCATCGTAATTTTTGCATCAATTTTTGGCGTCATTGGTGACATAACTTAAAATATAAATATAATTTTAAAATTATAACTGTTAAAATAAACAGGACTTGATTGTAACGGTGAACACGAGTACGAATCGGACTATACACCAGGGTGCCCGCAAACATGCGCAAATCGAGGTCAAATGAGGTGTTATTCATATTTAAAAACACCCTCGTGTCAATGCACTGACGGTACAATCAGAGATACCACTAGCGGAAAGTGCGTTAACCCTAACCAGTGCCCATCAAAATCGACCAAGTAGTATATTTGATAAATATTGAGAGATGCTACCACTTTTTTAAATTATGATTATTAAACTTTAAGGTCAATTAAGCTTAATTGTAGCGCTAATGAACGTTACTCGGATACCGTATCCGCATGTCCCGCTTCTTGTGCCAACCCTAACGGCCCGTTCTGTATGTCAATCTTACGCAAGCCGTCGTGCGTTTGTATCGATGGTACGATTCGCAACACCGTTAATAATGTTTGCGTTAAACAACAAGACTGTCCCAAAATAATTTATTAAGGTTATTTAATTATTTAGATTTGTATAGTTATAAACACTCAAATGATTTTATTTTGGTAATAAAATAAATGTTTGATCATGTATTAAATTATTTTTAAAATGTTTGTAGCCATCAAATATGTTATAATAGTTATAAATTATAACTAATGATAAAGATTAATCAAACAATTGGTAGGTCTTACATAGAGAATTTACTAATTTAACATTAAATTTATTTTAAAATAGCAGGGTTATTTAAAAATAAATTACACTATTCAATTAAACCTAAATTAAGTATCACTCATTTTAAATATACAAATATTTTAGAAGTAATTGGATGTATATTTCTGTAAATTATTAAAATCATAATGATAGTAACTGTAAATAAAAATATAAATGAATGTGTTAACTTAACTTAAATGCAAACATATAATTTAATGGTTGTCTAATAAAGGTGAAATAAGTTTTTATAATAAAATCTAATTATTTATTACTGCTTATACAATAAACTATTATCTAAATTTTTAAAATTGCCTAGGTTACAATGAGCTAGTTAAACCTAAGTATAAAATACATATTTAATAAATGTTAAATATTTTATCATGTCATAGATTTAAAATATATAATTTTAAAATATGTAACGTTAAACATTTGCAAAATTAATTGATACTTCATTATTTAAAATATCCAAGCAAGATGTTATTATAAAACATTGTCAATCAAATTAGTTTAATTGCAAGTATTTTAACAATAATAATAAACACCATATTCTATTGTGATATTTTCCATATTAATTAAATATTATTTCAATATTAGAAACAAAAAATCTTAGTTATTTAGCGGCGAACACCATGAATAACCAATATGTATTCTTCTATGGCACAATTAAATTGGGTAAATTAATTATTCTCATCTATGTGATTATTGAAACACAATCATTAAATATAAATTAAACTTATTGCATAATTGTTTATGCGTAACATTTATTGAATTAGGTGAACCAAATAATTATTACCTTTCGGATAACGATCATGGTCGGGCAGAGTACTGTGGGCAAGCTCAAACGGTCCATAGATGGCCATTAGTTATTGTGTCCAAACATAACATGCCCATATTGCTATTTAAGCGACATACTGGAAAGGTGACTTTAAAACAATTAAAAGCCGAAATTAATTATTTACTCTAGTTATAAAATATAAATTACTTTAAAAAAATTACCATGTAATAATTTATCTCAACAGCGAGTAATGGGCGACTTATACCTGTTGGACGACCGGATGAGGGCCCGTATAGATCAGCTATGCTCACAGCCTGTATGGCACATGCGTATGGAAGTGCCCATACAAGTGGTTAACACCGGTGAAACCATGATGGTCTGGGCATACTTCATACCTGATTTTAAGCCCAAATTATTGACCTACGATACGTTAGATAACTATACGAGTGTAATGGCTATGCTATGGGGCCAGGAGTACGATGAGACAAGCAGGGTACTTGAAAATCAGTTAGCTAAGTTTAAGTCCCTGTGTTGCATTAAGCGCTGCGATTGCGATCGATGTCGGTTTAATAATAATGATTAATTTTGGCATAATTGTATTTTAAGTTTTGTGCACATTTAACTCAGATTAATAAATTATTATTTTTAAATATCTTTAAATTACTTCGATTTTGTGATTGCTATTTGTTAATACAATTAATTAAAACAAGTAACTATACACATATTTTAATTAGTTTAATTTAATTAATAACTTCTTTGTATTGTATAAGCAATTGTTTGATAACATTGATGTATTTCTCTGCATATATTCACAAATATTTTTATATTATTAATTGTATACACATTATACAAAGTGAATTAATAATTAAATGCCAATCCAATAATAAAAGCAAAATAAGTGCCTTAATAATAATTAAGATGGCAAAACTTTTGGTCCAGATCTCACATTATTTTGTATGCCAGATTAATTAATTCTGGCATTACTAATATTAAACAATTGATTTGTATTATTTAAATTTACCACATTGTGATTAATAATTATTTGATTCTTCTGTTTTATATAAGGCTTGAATTTCATAATCACTTGTGCTAATAATTTTGTACACACAATAATTGATAAACCAAACCATAAACCCAATAGTGACCCCACAAACACCACGTACTCTTCAAATGACATTTTCAGCGATACCTCGTACATCATATCGGGCTCAGACGGTATCTGGAAAAATATATCAAAACCATTTTTATTACGATTTTTTGTCTGTTTATCGCATTCATAATTGAATGAATAGTAATGTTGTATACACTCTATTCGTTCACTGCATTCACTAATACAATGTTTATTAATAGCTTTATCCGCATTGAGTCCATGACTTGCCGTACGATTGCTTTTATCGATATCTTTAAAGTAAGTATAGTTCAAAGGAAATACGGAATACTTTTGATAATATTGCCGAATAATACACTCGTCAATACATACAATAACTTTTTGTCTCATTAAACATTTATTGTTATTGAATTTATACTTTAATATAACAGTGGTTTTGCGGTACTTAACCTCACACCGAGTGATATTTTCAGTAAGCTCAATTCTAAACATATTTTTAAAATAAAATTGCCTCAATATATCCCATCGTGAATGAAAATGTACATATAACCTGCGATCAATCATCGCGGTATTATTCAATACAAACTTCAACAATCTGTTTGAATTGCTCGATGTGTCCAATATATACCGGGTGTCCGATTCACCCGACCATTGAGATAGCGCTGTCCAACAAATTACATTTTTATGCGCATCCAGACCAGTGCGCATGGGCGCGATGGCTGCGCATGGCTTTTTAAACTTTTCACTGCCATACACGTTACACGTGTACATGTTATATTTGTCAACCATGTCAATTAATTCATCGATTTGATAACTTGACATTGATTTCATGTCGGGACGATTCTCGAAATCAGTTGTGTTTACAATCAATTTCAATATTGAATCAATGTGTGTACAAATGGTGAGCCCCGGCGGGTACAGCTCTGATGGCGATTCTGAGCGTATGGTTGTTGTGGTTTCGTATGAGAAGTATATTAAACTTATTTCATACGCTTGGTATAAAAGTCCACACAATAGTACTGAGTTTAGTAATAAATTTTTTAATGATATTTTGGACCACATTTTAAAATTATTTGCTTATATAAGTATATCATGAATTTTATTAATCGAGATATTCACTTTAAAATTTAAATAACTTTTCATTTTTGTGTAATATTTATGTTTTCACTGTTTTATAAATATTAATAGTTAATTGATTGTTACATAAATTATTTCTTATGTAAATTATTTATTGTAATATTTCTTATGGCAGATACTAAATTTTGTTATTAGCAATATTATAAATGTTAGAAACATCTTGTCTTTTAATATGCAGTATGCACAATATGAAAGACAACTCAATAATAATAAAAATTCATGTTAATAGCATTAAAGTAATAAATTAAAGAATAATATTCAGTTACTTATAAAATTCTGATTGTTATCATATCAGTAGAGCGTACAAAAAGGTAAATATCCAGTATTAGAATATTTATATTAGAATATATTGAAGGATTTATTAATATACAATAATGATAATGATGTGGTAATAATTTTGTATGGAAACACACAAATTGCAATATAAAACAAAACTCTGATTGCATGTTTTATAGATTATTTTATATTAAATCGGTTTCTGTATTACAAGTTACATTATTTACTTAACATATTTATCTAATTAAATAATATGAAATATACATAAACAAACCTCTATTAAAACAGATAATAATATTATTAATATATTATTGAAGATTTTTACTTATTTTATTGAGTTTTTCGTTATTAAATTTTAGTTTAATTGTAGTTTATTAGAACTTTATACGTAATTAATAACTAGATTATTGCATGCTTGTTTTATTAAATTAATAAACATTTGTTAATTAATATTGTAATAATTATATAATATTGGCGTTTGGTTTGACAATAGTATCGCAGTATTTGGTCAACAATTGGTTGAAAGTATTGACGTCCGCATCACTCGAGTGGCAAATATTACCCAAAACTTTCATTTTCTGGATTGCATACGAATTCTGGGAAAAAATAAAAAATAAATTGTAATATATTTTATAATTAAAACATTCAATATTCTTTATATTATAATATATTTATGATAACATACTTGTCCTAAATTATAGCATTTGTCGTGAAAAGTGTCCACAAGTTTGTGATAACACTCTTTATTATTGATCTGTAGTTTACTATTGAGCACAACATTGGCCTCAATTCCTGACAATGAATTCACGTATTCCTCGATCTGTTTGTCCATTAATTCCCGATTTCTTAACAATACTTCCAATTCATTCACATAACTATTAATTTATAATTATAATAAAGTATTTAATTAATTTATATTGTTAATTGTTAATTGTTAACTATTTAAAAATCTCATGCCTTTGTTTTAATCCTAATTCATTTGTTACTTCAATCATACGTTGAGCTAAATATATGGGTGCGTCCGGTATGGGCACAGAATTGGCCGGTTGTGAATACTGGCCAACACTCGGCACCTGTTTCTCACCTAAATTAATAATAGTAATTTTTACAAGATTTAATTAATTAAACATTTACGTGATTTTAAATGTTAAAACTATTACATACCCATATAAGTAGACAAATGCTCAGCGTTTATGGATAAGTCACCATATTGTTGAGCATGCTGATCAGTAAACTGTGTTGTAATAAAATAATTAAAATTAACTAAACAAATAAATTTAATTAATATTAATAATTATTTACAGCGTGTGCGATGTAATCGTACTGTGTCTTGATAGTCTCCTTGGTCAAATCATGATGTTCACTATCGTTGAGCCAGGCCACGGCAAACTGTACCGCTATTTATAACAATCAAATTAATCTTGTTAGATTAATATACATTAAAGCGTAATTTTAAAGTATAACTATTTTGTACTAGCTTATTTAATATCAATACATACATAAACATGTATGACGTTCGTCAACAGAGCAATCCGAAAACCAACCAAGTTCATCCGGTAATGTGGCCGACATAGCGTAGGCATTAATGTTGTTGGGTAATATTTTATCAAACATGGACCCTTTAAAATAAATATTTCACATATTAAATAACACAAAAGTTAATATACTATAACTAATTAATAAATTACCTGCGTAACAAGCGGCTAAATAAAATACTAGTTCCTTATATTTGTTATCCTTATGCATAGCCACCAGTGTATCAGTTAAATCTTGGGCCATGAGTTTATCATTAGGGAACACAACGTATCCTGGTAATTTAAAGTTCAATATAATGTTTAATTAATACAACAAGTATGTTAAAATATCTAGTTTATACACTAACCCTCCGAACCATGATCATCTAAATAGACAAATATGCGGTCATTTGGACCACTTTTGACTACTTTTTTGCCCGCTTTGGCCAACTTTTCGTCGCCCCGGAGAATTGCGAGAAAATTCTGCGAATGGATAGTAATGTGTATATTATTATCGTAAATTACAAGTTACGAAATAAATGTTATTAATACCTGTGGTGTGACATCTTTTCCAGTGTAGTCTTTGGGAACCCCTTTATAAACATCCGGACCCCCTTTGCGGTTAACAATCACACCGGGGGTTGGGTTTCGCTCATTCTTAGCCAAATCGTCGTAATGCATGACAATTATATTTTCGTCAGGTATTCCATGAGCTTTGATCACTTGATACGCGTGGTATACGTCCGCCTTTAGGGTAATTATTATTATTTAATACATGAGAGAGAGAGAGAGAGAGAGAGAGAGAGAGCAATACCTGCATTCCGTAATTACCCCAACCGTTAGCACTGGCGGCCAACACAACCCATGTTTTGCCGGCAAACGGTTCATCCAATTGCCGTATAAATGGGACCGCATTTGCGGCGATGAATAGCGCAGAAAATACTGCAAATAATTTCATTATTTACTGATATTAAACTCGAATTGTATTAAAACACTTTGTGTTAGAATACAGTGTATTTATATATTGTTTTCAAGTTGTGTCGCGACCAAGATGCAATCATTAAATGGTTCTATACATGCATTTAATACGTGACTTACCCTTGATTTCTATATTATTGGTCTTAAAATGTATTATCAAGATTAATTATAAGTGTTTTTTATTTTAGTCTATATTCATTATCTTATTATTAAGAGTATTATTTTATCTATTTTCCACATTAATAAAATATACGTTTGGTATATTACTAGGAAAAGTACCATATTGCAATTGCTTGATCACAATACCCCGCTACAGGGGATGATTGAATATCCATATAAAGTTATAAAATCAATGTTAAAGTAGCTGGTTTAAACTTAAGCATCTGTTTATATAGCAAATGTTTTTAAAGTTAGCAAAATTAGATAATATTTTATTATTTGCAATGCATAATCACAGAACTCATTGATATTTTGTTATCTGTATAAGTATTTAATAGTTTAAGCGTAATTTATTTGAGTAGTTTAATAAAATGTTAAAAATTAGTTATTTACCTAATTGGTTTATAAGTTAAACTTATACCAATATCATATATACATTATGCATTATCATTAATAGGTGTTAGCGTTGATTGTAATGATTCTAATGCTGATCATTTTTGTAAATATAAATAATAAATATAATAAATATTTTGCAAACTTAAAAGTTTACCCTATAACAAATGAAAGTATTAGTAAATAAAGTTTAACAATACTAAGGATTTTATAATTTTTTAAAATAATTAAGTAAATAATTAATTACTTCATTACTATAGACAGGAAAAAAATGCGTTTTTGATGCGTTAGTCACTGAAAAACTTAACTTTATATACAAGTAATGTTTGATTCATTGCTTTGAACACATCTTTAATATTTGTAATAATGAGTTATAAATAATTTTTTCTGTGCAAAAGCATCAAAAACGCATTATTTTCCTGTCTATATTCATTACTACTACATGGCATAAAAATGTAATTACATCTATCTTATTTTAGGTTTATAAATCTAACTTTGTATTTATTCTTTACATTAAGTGCAATGTTATCTACATATGTATATTTATATCTATTTATAAATATCCAATAAGCTACATTAAAATCATTAAAATAACAAAAATAAAATGTTCATTTCATCAGCAAAATTAATAGGTATAAAAACGAGAATAATTTTAAAAACTACTAGGTTGTTCAGTAATAAATGTTCATTTTGGCCATATCTTAAAAACTAATCAAGATAGTTTGATTCTGTCTACAGATTATAATAACACTTGCCCATGTCCACATCTCATATAAATTTTATTTGGATTGATTAACATTAAGGGTATTTATTTTCCAAAAAACTGAAGAAAAAATTGTTTAAAAAATTTATTAGTATAGGAAAACTTTTTTCCTGTTTGATAAAAGTCATAAGTGCCTATATAATAATCATTGCTACACACCTCTATAATTTAAATATATAATTTTATCTTTGAAATTTAGGATTATTTTTTAAATAAAAGTTAAAATCAATGCATTTATAGACAAAATTCTAATTTGTCATTTTTCAATGATCTTTTTAAATTTACAGTGTAGTGCAGTGTCTGGTAGGAAAAAAATTTTCCTACAAAAGCGCATTGAAAAAATTGCCAAATTTATTTTAGCCAATGGGTGCCTTGGTTCTACCCCTTATTAGAAAAATTTAGAGCTTGCTGAGATAATATAATTAATTGAGATTATAGAGGAGATGTGTAGCTATCATTATTATATAAACACTTATGACTTTTATCAAACAGGAAAAAAGTTTTCCTATACCAATAAATTTTTTGAACATTTTTTTCCTCAGTTTTTTGGAAAATAAATACCCTTAATGTTAATCAATCCAAATAAAATTTATATGAGAAGTGGACATGGGCGGGTGTTATTATAATCTGTAGACAGAATCCATTTATCTTGATTAGTTTTTGAGTTATGGCCAAAATGAACATTTATTTCTGAACAATCTAGTAGACAGTTATAAAATACAATCAATACAGCACAACATGGTAAAGTCAATTTTTATTGTTATAACAGTAAGTTTGCTTATAACTAACTGTATATACGCTATGAGTTATAGGAAGATATTCAATGCAAATCAATGCAATACCAATCCGTGCAAAAACAATGGCAAATGTATTAAATATTCAAATCATGAATTGTATTGCTTTTGTCTCTCAGGTGTGTAAAATTTATACTAGATTCAAATCGATTTATGCTTAAATTCTACGGACAATTTAAATGATATATAATTATAATCTTACTCTCTCTCTCGCAAATTCCAGTAAATCCTAAAATAAATAAATATTACATTAAATAAATTTTA